ATGTAGAGATGAACTAACTATGTATAATGCTAGATAGTGTTAAAGTATCATAATTTATAAAGAAAAACTCATTACTGGTATTATTGTGGGTCTGCATACCATTGTAATCGGTTGTGAAAATGACCTAAGCTACCATCCATGATTCAATTTCTTGAAAATCACTGCGACTTCCTGCCCCAAGGGAACATGTTTGATATAATGATAGGGCCTGGCAGTTTTGCAAATTCATTTCAGCTAAATGTGTCAATTGATCATTTTCCAACGTTGTTCAACATCTGACAAACCAAGAAATGCACTATACTTTATTACCATCTGTGTTTCTATTTATCTTAATAATTAATTACCGTGGTTACAAGCTTCTTTATCTGTCATGTTATTCGTAGGCCTATTTATTTTGAAAGACACTTTGAACGCAAACTGATAATAACGAAAATCAAGTTCTATACCACGATAAATGTCAATATGTTGGTTTAAAGTATAGATGCATGTTCGTAGGCATTTGGGAGTTTTTTTGCTTTTTATTATCAAAAAAAGTCTTGGCTATAGTCTGTTGAAATTTTGCGGCATTGTGAATAGTGGAACATACCATACTCAAAAGACGATTTTAAAATATAGAAAAACTTTCAGGACTTTTAATCCCATATGCGTGCCTCGGTTCCTCTATATTTTTAGCTAAGATTATCCGAGCAAGAAAGAGCAAAAAACAACAAAATTTCACTCCGAGTGCCCACGAACCTGCGTCTATACCCATCTTTCTTTTCTCGGAGCACAATCCCACTTAGTTTTCATTTGGTTTCGATTACAAAACTCCTGCCACCTAACGATTGTTCCTGAGAGTGTTTTTGTCATTGAAATGACTTAAAGGTTGTTGTTAGATGATACTGAGTGCCGTCTGATGAATACGTTTATTAATCTATTGCTGTCCTCACTAGTATGTCTACCGAACGCATCTGTAGGCATTATTCTGTTGAACAATGTCCATATGCTGTTTCCTCATATCCATTTATGTGTCAGGTCTTTTCATCGTCATGTTACCTATTCCCTGTGGGTTTTATTCGGACATGGTTTAGGGCCGCTCTCAAAATTTCGCAGAAGTTTTAATCGGTTCAGTCTATTTCCATATATGCTAGGCTTTTAATTTCTTAATGTGTTTTTGTACATTAGGTCAGACTGGCCCATTTGTTACGTAAATTAACCGAAAATCTGTTGAGAAATGTTTCAATTTAAATGTCAATATGATGTCATCACGACTTGCATAGCCATTGTTGGCTTGACATTCCGCAACACAGCATTAGACAGTGTAATCTGTTCTTCTGTTTATATCATTGAATGTGAACGGTCAGCAAACTGTCTCAATTTCATCTGCTACTCAGGGCAGTGTCATATGTAAATGACAAAAATGTATCATTGTGATATTTTGAGATTGCCCCTGACTTTGTCCTCATTATAGCATACTTAGCACAGTTGTAGATTGTTAGAAGACTTGGCAAGGTCAAGGTGTCTTTCTTTTATTCAGTCCAAATCAATTACCATGCTTGTTTTGTCCCATGCAATTCATTTAAATAAGTGAAGAAGGTTTATTTGTTAACGAACATCTGGAAAAGTGAATGTAAATTGGATCGCGGCAGGGGATCGTTTGTCGTGACTTTCTCATCTTGAATACTAGACAAGACTATAGAAGTAACTAATCAGTTTATGTGTAATCATTTACTGAGTATTGATGGATATTTTTTTTTTTTCAATTTTTTGACGAAATTTTCTGCTCTTGTGTAGTTCTATTATTTGGGTACAGTGTCTTCCTTCCTTTGAAATGCAACGATAGCGTTATGTCTTACATTGTCAGGAAGACAATAGAAGTTATTGTTATTGTAATTTTTTCCATTTTAAACCATACTTACCTTAAACCCACTGGGTAGAAAGATATCAAATGAAACTCTTTATTTTCCCATATACCCGGTAAAGGTGTTAGATAGAACCTCAAACTGTATTCCAAAGGGGGCTGCCAAGAATTAGTTGCGAAATATTTAGAAGTTTGTCTTGTCAGGTTGAACACAGCTTTAAGAAAAGGAATGTCCTATACCACCTGTTATTGTTTAGCCCTGGGAATTGCGAACCGAAGTTCAGAATGTATGCGACCCACTGTCACGATAGCTTTATGGAAATTCAGTATAAATCTCTTAATCTAAATATTCCATCCCATGTGTATATTTTAATGTGTTGGTAGATTTTGTTATGAGACCGGCCGTTCCACTGAATTAGAAATTGGTGCTGTCGAGAAAACCATGCAATGTCTGTAAATGCTTGAAAACTTTTCTTCTTGAAAACTTTTCAGAAGAAAAGTTTTAATCCTTCTAATGTTGATAAAACTAATAAACAGCCTAAGGTTAACCATGTACAAAACAGGTTTAGCGCTTGTACTAAAAATACTACTTAAGTAAAAATACAAGCAAACCAGGCAATATAAGGAATGAAGCGGTATTTCTGCATCACTTATTTTTAGTGGCTGCGGCTGTTTTTTCCAGCAATTACACAGTCTCCATAACTCAGTTTCCAGTCTCAGAAACAAGGTACTATGAATCAACCAAATATTTTGTAATGTCTACGATGCACAAAATCAAGAGCAATTAGGTGCTCAGAATGATTTTAATGAGCAGTGGGACATTTTAATGTTGCCGGGCACAACGATGTATGATGAAAAGGCACGAGACAAGTTAAGTCACATGATACCACACATGTTAAGAACTGCCACACAGACATATTCGAACAATGATCAGGCAGAGGTGGATTAAGAATTCATTGAGGATTTCATTGTATATTGTAATAAAAAGTCTGGGACACACAAGTCTACAGAGTCTTGTTAATTGTGAAAAAAGTATTCCCTCAAGTTAGATCAGAACGCAACGAAGTTGTAATACCTCAAGTCCATTGCTGTAGGTACCAGCTTTTATAGAGCTGAATGTAGCATCTGTGCCACTACACCCAGCAGACTGAGTTCTTAAACAGATTCCTATCAAATTAAACTTGCTACCTGATTATGGGCAGAACTGACACATAGAAAGATGGCATGTCAAAACCCTCAGACAGCTTACAGTTCGCCAATCATAAGGCTGCATGGATTACAAAGCAAAAAAGTTTTCACCAGAAATCGAGCACACAATTCACAGATCTTGGTCACGTATTGATGGATTTGGCTCAAACTTGGTACATGCATTGGACATAATGGACCTTGATGCAAATAAAAATAGCCAGATCTTAGTTATATATGGATAGCTATTGTTTATCTTGGTACTTTGAACAGATGTATAACAGGACAAAATGGCCAAACACAAATGCTGTTCTAGTGCAATGTCTCTGACAAACACTGACTGAATGCTATCAAACTTTACATCTAAATTATACATCATTTCCTTTGTTCTGATTCATGTTCTGATTCAAAATGGCTGACACATTTCAGTTTGGTTTACTACTGAACTAACAGGCACTGTGTCTTGTCATGACATGACTTGTTCAAAAAAATTCTGAAACTAAAAAAAAGGACCAAGCTGAACTGAAGACCAAAGAAAATGATGAGCTTTATTTTCAGTACATCAGAGGGTTTCTAACTTTAATTTATATGTTCTCAAATGAAGCAAGTGTGAAGCGAAATTTGCAACCGGTTACAGTCAAGATAAACCATAGACCTTAGAAAAAGATAAGGTCTATGGATAAACAAGGACTTGTTATCGTTCCCACTGTGACAGCTTCCTGATTGCACATCTTCAACATATCAATAAATTTGTGCAACTTTGTTGTCCATCTTTACCAGCTTATTGAAATGCAAAATTACTGATTTATAAGTAGTTTTGTGAGGTATTACTGATGTCTCAATCACACAGGCGTAAATGGTGTAAATGCCTTGGGTATTTGATACTGAATTTCATTCCTTTTACTCATTATTTTTTTTGCTAAATATATTTTGTAGGTTGTTAGTCAAAACAGGTACTTCCAAATCTTTCACAATACTTTTAAAACCACATTCTATTTTTATTCCTTGAAATTGTGGACTGAACTGCGTTTGTATTAAATGTTCCCATTAGCTGACTTGTGCCAGCTGGCAGGCTGCTTATATGAACTTCATCTCGGCAAATGTTAATGTTTTGTTTGCTTTTTTAAGAAAACGTGAAAGCTGTGTCACTGAATCTGTGTCATTGTTGAAATCAACATAATCAGCACATGCTACGTGTGTTTCGAATAGATGCTAATTCACTCGTGATGTGAAATATAATTGATTTTTTTTCCCCTCCTTACTTGCATACGTCAAATGTCTGGTTGTTGCCCTAGGTAGGTAGGCTCGAATGTCGAAAATAATCAATTTGACGCTATTTCTGATTGACGACTCGGCAAATACGCCAATTCAATACTAATCAAATGATATTGGTAGTATTACACGACTCCCGTGCGATTGATTTAAGTTGTAGTGTCTTGTTGAGGTCTGTGTACTGATGTCAGTCCTCAGTTATTTCACCACGTTTTCTCTAATTTCAAAGCTTTAAAGCATTCATTCACTTCTGAAGTGGTGCTTGTAATATGACGTCGGAAATGAATTTGTTGTTTCTAGAATGGTCAGCTGTGCTACCATGTAGACATGACAAGTTACGCATTGTTAATGCAAATTCTGATCAAATTTGTTGGATTAACACAGAAAGCTGTTTTGACTTTGTTTCTACGTTTCCAAAGTAAGGCTGTGGCTCTACAGTAATTTAAAAAAAGGTACATTCTCTGGAGCTCTACAGGTCTTGTACAACTCTGTTAACTAAACTCCAGCGACTGACTGACTGAATTCAAAGTTTATAAATAGAATTAATCATTTATTGTGCTGCCTCTAGTTACCATACTTGTTATATAGGCATCTGTTTTAGGGAGGTCACTTGGGTTCAAGATTAAAATCATCATCTTGATGAGATTGACATTGTGTCAAGCAAAATCAATTAATGATGAGTACCTTTCCTCCTTGCTATTAGGCTGCAGCTGCTGCTCAAGTTGTTCCTATGCTGAGTGAAATGATGCCAGACATCGCCATGGCAACTGGACCTGATATCACCATAGCTACAGCCCCGTCAATTAATCAGATGTTGCTGCGGGAACCTGAACTGGGAGATGAGCACTTTGTTCGTGACAAAAACGGTCAAATGGGGGAATTATGAAAAAAACAAAAATCAGAAAAAAACTAATTTATAGATTTTAAAGATACTCTTATATGTGAAATATGTAATATGCAATGGGATCTGTTAACAAATGATTTTGTTTCCTTCTCTCATTTTCCATATTTCTAAGATTGCAATTTTTTTCAGAACTGGTCATTTTGATAATAATTCTTGTTTGAATTCAAACATTGCATTTATAACCTGTGTAACAATGTTGTGAGGTTCTGGAATGCTGTCAACACTCCTTTTTTTTTCTGATTTGTTTTAACAGGGATATTTGCATCGCATATCAATGACAGAACAAAAATTTTCCTTAATGGGAGTGTTGGTTGGTACTTTTATGGAAAACACAAAAAAAGCATTTTCTAGAATCTGAATAACTGATATTTATACTATACTATACTGTAGTGTTGTTGTAACTCTATACATATTTTGTATGTATTATAATTAATGTGACATTTTAATGTGATACCGCGTAACGATTGTGTACTTAAAATCGAATGGGATACTCTTCCACAGTTGTACGTCTAGTCTGTACAGTGAAAATAATGAAACCAGGCATTTGTACTTGTATTATTAAAAGGGAACAGTTTTTTTTTTTGTTATACAGCATTTATGCATTAGTATGGGCAGGAGGAGGAAGAGGAGGGGGGCTTGAAATATGTTGAAGTTGTGTGGCATTCCAATAGTCCTGTTTTAAAAAAAAAAACATTCTTCTTTTTATTTCTGTAATATTTCATGTGATGATATTTACGCTAGCCCTGCAAATTTTTAACAGAAGTACAATGAAATATACCAGTAGTTAATAACGAATTACTTGTACTGTACCCCAGATTACATTATGCACCTATTTTGTAATTTTTTGATTTCTTAAAGTACGACACCCACTTTTAATTAGCAATGGTTGTCTGTTTTTTTTGTTGTTTTTTTTTGGATTATTATTTTTCTGTTTGTTTGTTTGGCCATGGTTTCATTCAGTAATGGCTGGAGATCAATTCTTTATTAAATAATGCAATGAAATTTGTATTTGTACAAAAGGGAATAAATAAAAAGGCTGTCTCGCATTTACATTTTAAACCAGTTTGTTTTTGTTTTTTGTACCTGTAACCTGTGTGTGGACTGTAACCCTATACAACACCCTCTACATGGGGTCTGAATGGATGAGTTTTTTATTTAAATCTTTTGTTGCAAAGTGGCATGATATCTTGAGGCCTTATTGTACAATAAGCTGTCGTATGCTTGCACCCCTCCTCCCCTGATCTAGAGCACCATGGCCTAGAAGAAAATAGAACCATCTTCAATCTCTGGTATTTCCCAACAAAAAATATAAAGCTGCAGTCCTTTTTGTTTTACCGTAAAAGGGTAAATTATTCACTGGGTTTTAATTTCGCTGAATGGAAAATGCACTAAATTAAAACCCAGTGAATATGTAAAATTTAGCATATCTAAATGATAAAACTGTGAATTTACAACCCACTGAATATGCCTGAAATGCTAAATCAGCGAAATTTAAACCCAGTGAAAATTAATCATTTTACAGTATTCTTACAAAAAAAAGGGTTGCATCAAGGTGATTTGTAATTTGAACATATAAATTTTGTTGTCAATTTGCAAATGACAGGAAACTTGATAGAAACTGTAGTTGAATGATAAGACTGATATAAAAAGACAAGAATTTCAGGACAGGAATTGTTGGGGGTTTCACTCTGTTGCAAATATGTGGCATAGACAACGTGTACAATGTTGAAAGTGTGGATTTTGCACACACATGATACAGACCACATTATTTTTGGACTATTGATCATGAGATGGTGTGCCCATTTGTGATCAATATACAGAATATATTTAAAAAAAAAATATTTTAAGAGCGAGTCTTGAATTCTTTTGTTGATGATGAACCCAGGAATACCTGTATTCTTAATATGAGGTTATTATGAGGATCCTGAAAAGTATGCACAAATACAGTACAGTAGGAGAGGTCACGCAACTGCATACTGTCTGAGTTTATACTTTGCGGTATCCTCGTAATAACCTTATTATTATACATCCTTTCCTTCCAAAAATAAACCATGAGAATGCCGAAATTCGAAATGTTTAGAACAGAATCAGCGAACTTCTTTGGAGTCCGGTCAAACCTTGGAGCTGCCATGTTTGTTTTTTATTATTAGAGGACATTCATGCCTGCAATCACTACATATTTGGAATTTGCATTTCCTAATATGGTAGGATAAAAATACCCCGTAAAATGCCGCTAAATTATGGCGTTACGATGACAGATGTATAATAACTATTATGAATGTAAAACGTTTTCAGGTCCCAAAGTGACTATGTGAAAAACAATTGGTGGACGAAAAGAGAACTTTTAATTGTCTGGAACTAAAGACTCTGTTGAAACCTTTAATCAAACTTGTTTCTTTATCTTGTCAACTGTTGCCTCCGAGCATGTTTTAAAAAGCCAATCCATCATGATGAGCTCCTCTTGCGTGACAGTTTTGAAATAGGAGTAAATCACTGCGTCCTTGCAAAATAACAAAACTAATGTTAACATTGCTATAGAATAAATCGTGTATCGCACAAAGCGTTATTTATTTCTCCTGAATGCTATTTGTTTTGCAGATTTCCTGGTGTGTCTGTCCTCGCTTGACGGTGAAACCATACCTTGATATCTGGAAACAGTTTCCACTAAACTACAAGAAGCGTATCGCCAACATATGTGTAATCAAAGACTATAGTCTTTGGTGTAATACATGTATATATTTGTTCTTTGTGCGTAAAATATTGCGTAATACGCAGACGTATAAATAAAACTCTTGGTAATCTTGTAATACGCTAATGTGTTTGGTTTGTGTAAATGTTAAACTACGTTCGTACCTGCCCTGGCTTCGTAAATCCCGAGTCTTGAACAATGATGATATAAATCAATTTATTGAAACACACCCACAACTGTGACTTTATAATGATGGTACAGTTCACAAAGGACGGGCTAATATTGTGACTGTAACTAACCCCTTTCTGTCCAATTACTACACAAATACTGTATAATGCAAGCATAACGCAGAGGCGAATAACAGTATTTGCATTCACCTTTTGATCAACTTGAAGTGATACAGAGACTGTGATCAGAAAAAGTAAATAGGGGTTTGTGAACTCGCAGCGAACACCCCCCCCCCCATTTCATGCTTGTTCTCGGGCCGTGTCATGAATTGGAATCCCCGGGGATTACTTAATATCGATCAGTTAAAGTACTAGTATACTCAGTCAGTGTGTAACTTGCGATTATTTGTAGGTGGAGAAATTAGTTGTGGGTTAGACGAATTAATTGAGTCAATCAGGGGTCATTGCTGATAATCTTCGACAATTGTATTAATTAGCCTGAGAGACAGGCTAAACTATTTTTGGCATTTTGTGAAGATCACTATGACACAAGTGTGTGACAGTTGGTGAATACAAAAGAGGTATTAGTTTAAAATTATCATTTGGAAACACAAAATAATATTATCACGTTGCGTCGTGTTCGACTTGGGTGCCATGTAACATGATAACAGTGAGTGTCGAATCATTCACTCTTTACGACGACTCTTATGTGCTGCTTTGCTATTTTCAAAAACTTCAAGGCACTGTTAAATTGTGTATAGTTATCTTGTTTCGCTATAATAATGTTGACATTTGACCATATTCACCAGGTTTTAGAAATTCATGGATTTCCCAGCGAAATAATGATAGTGAGATAGTAACTTCACATGTTTTACACTCAATTTGTGGCATTGCACTTAAACTAAATCACAGTGAATAATAAGTTCTTCTACAGTACCCTGCGTCCATGTGTTGTCGCATAGTTCACAGTCCCCCCATACCGTTGTTGAGGGACTGTGCATAATCCTCCCAAATCCTATAAAGACGATTGTGACATGACGATTGCGTTATCGAGAATACAAATGGCGAAAGCCGGGTTACTGTGAAAGCCGGCTTTCGCG